TAATGATGATAGGGCTATGATGTTATTTTTTCAATGTGTCGGTCTAAATCTCGATTCGGGTGAAAATTGGCTACTGGGCTCTTTCGACCGGCATTAGCACACTCGTTTGGCACGAAAGGAACCTGGCGAACACGCGGGGGACTCTGGAACACCCTTGCCTTCTCACGTTAACAACCATTCCCAACCTCTGCAACGGAGTGAGAATGCAACGTTGTCAATGGGGGTTATAGTGAAATTCTCTAATCCGACCGTTTCGAGAGTCAGATCACCTTCCTTGATAGTTTTTGAGATTTTTGTAAATAAAAAAGCGAAAAAACCTACAGCTGAAAATGTACTCAACTTGTTCTTCCTAATTCACGGCACTATGAAGCGCAATAATTAGGCAAAATGTTCTTAAAATGAGTTATTCGAAAGAATGCGGGAAAGTAAACAGACCCTTAAATTCTCAAACATGAGCAGGCTCCAGAACTATACAGCACTAGACTTGACCTACTCGAACACAGGGCGGCGTGAACCCTCCATTCTGGATTGAAACCTGAGCATGAGTAAGGAACACTTTCTTGACTTCATTCAGAGAAGTCCGTAGCAGATATGGAAACCGAAGTCATGATCAACGCCTAGGGCCCGATCAGTCAGCATGCATTTCATTCCAAACCAATAAGCCATATAAACAGTGTACCCGATCGAATTCTTCAAGGTATGTTCTTCCAAGGCGAGGGATAATGACATCGTCGGTGTCAGGGAAGATGATGTACTTGGCGGATTCCTTAAAGTAGCGTTATCAGTTGAATACTAATTATAGTAATGTATTGGTGTGATCAAAGGCCTAGTAAAAATTGATGCTATCCGAGTCAGGCCCTTAGTGTGCTTTTCTCAAGACACGTTACTTCTCTTTGCGTTTAAGAAGAAGGGTGTTAATGAATAGAACACATTGGTTGACTCCTCCCATACAAATAGCGTGAACCATGTCCCTAATAACCTTGTAACCCTGCTGCTCAAAGTCGGTTGAGCTCATGGTCGGTACAACTCATTCATCGGAACTGCGGAGTTATTGGCTAGGAGCTTTGTTCACGAGCTATTGTATAGGTCTAATACGCTGGTTCAGCTCCTACAACCCTTGAAGCCACACCCCCGCCACCATAGGTCGTGGGTAAGTAGGGCTGAAAAACAGGCATGAAGGTCGTAGTTGACTTGCCGATGGTTGAAGAACAGAAGAAACTGTCTACCTCGCTTAGTAAGGGTCTTCTCGCTGGAACGGAGTGGCCAAGATATGTTGGAATTTTAGGACCAGAAGGAGCAGCGAGCGAATACATAAGCAAGCGAAACGACAGAACATGCAGACATACAACTTTCCATACCTGCCAACTTTGTAAAGTAATGAGCACAAAAACGAGGAGAAGCGTTAGTGCAAGATGCCCCTCTCCCTAGCCAAAGTGGGCTTTAGGTGAACTGGGGGGGGCCTTATAGGAACACAGCATATTTGAAATCCCGTTATAAAGTGGTGCTCACCTTATATAGAAGTAGACAGTCTGTCATGGCAGCGGCTTGATTTCTGAATTCCAGCTCGATGTTGGGATCAAAGTCATTTGAATTTGCTCTCTTTGATCCGAGTCGAATAGCTGGCCACGGCTGAACCCTTGCATTTGGGTATCGGGTCATAATCACGAACAGATCTGTGATCATTGACCGGACATAGAAGTGCATGGCCGCTCCATAGTGGCTGTAGACCTGAAAATAAGTGGTGCTTCCTTTACATACATGTAATGGATGCGTATTGATCGATGCTACCTCAGCTGTTAAAAGAAGAAGTTGCCATCGTTCGTTTAAAAACAGGGGCGAAAAGCACGCCACAACATCGTTTCGCCCGGAATAAGGATATCGAACTGGGATCTGTGATTAAGAGGGTTTTGGAAGGTCTGGGATAGTTTCTATGGCCCACATCTGGCCTATGTCTTCGGCTCTTTAACCTGATTGTAGAGCTGTGAAACAACTAACTGTCATTCCTTTCTCTCCACTTGTCAACTGTAGCGATGTCATTCCCTCGCTGACTTGACCCACGGCGATGAACGGCACCCATTTACAGTAGAATGGAATCTGCTGCACCACTGGGTAGATCCTGCAATGAATTTTTGAAGATTTCTCCGGGTTAGGCCATAAATATCTCGCCGTTGAGTTGATCTTGACTATAAGCGCTATGCATAGGAAAACGGCTGATACGCGGGATAGATTAGACGGCTATAACAACGCGACTCGTCTTTAGCCTTTGTTGCGACGACGCTGACGCAACGGAAGCATGGCGTTTTCTGATGCTTACCTGAAGGATGTTTTTAGCGATCCGGAGGCGTTTGTCGATATACCGTGAAGTTCGGAGTGCTTCAGATGTAGTACCTGATGGGCGTTCAGCAACAATATCACCGTGTTGTTTTCGAAACTGTAACTACTATAGCTGAAGGTGGAAATATGGGCTTTTTTCGCATTCAATCACTAGCACAGTTCAGACTGTATGGCTTGAATAGAGCGTATCTTTATGAAGACAGTAGTCACTTTTCTCTGCCGAAATACATCATTTCGCCAAGCTAACTTTCGGTCTACCGCCGACAGCGCTTCCCGGGAAGGATGAAAATTATGTGTTTATTATTTCCTTTCTGGGACGAGGCACGACCTGATGTAGGGATACGACCCCACTTTGAAATGGTACGACCCCCTCCCCCCTCCTTATCCCATACCCTACGTCCAATGTTCAATGTTCCCAGTTCCAATGTTCCCAGTTTCGCCACTTTTCTGCAGTTTTTTTCTGAAAAATCAAGAAAAGTCTACCAACGAAAATTCTCCTTTGGGCAAATACGACCCCCGCCTGCGAATACAGATCCCCTCAATGAGGATATCCAACGCACGATGTGCCCTGGGATGCAGTCACCCTTTTACTTTCAATCGGAATCGTGGTGGCTTATTGAAAACGATATGACCTGAATTGCGATGGGCAGCCAATACCAAATCAAACGGTATCAATCGGTTCAGGAGAAGGGGACAAGGGTGGCTTTAGCTAGAGCCGATCCGGATTCTGTTCCGCGGATCGTACGTGTAGTTAGGAGGGCCACTTGTCACTGCATCGCCATCACTTGTAAGAACTAAATTAACGGTCTAGCACGCTATCAACGGATCCAACAGCTTTGGGATGCTTGGACAATTTAGAGCGTCAAAGCCGTCAAGCATTCACTCCTAAATTAAGAACCTAGTGAATCCTCAGCTCAGGAACGGACAGCACATTCGCCCGGTAAGCCTGATGTACGAATTCGAGTCCCGCTTGGCGTCAGACTTTTGCCCATAACTCAGCATTCTTGTGATACTTGGACCTAATTTAGGATTACACTCCTCCTCCTACAAATGTGACAGCGTTAGCAGGCCTTCCTGCACCTCTTGCTAACAGTGGACTAAAGTGAATTATCAAAAAGCGATACCCTCAAGGAAATCACCATCCTTGAGGGTATCGCTTACAACCATATCATCAGTGGGGTCCATTTTTAAGCCTTTCACCTCTCTAGGGTTGGTTGTGCATACCAAGGATGTCTGGGAGTTAATAACTAGAACTGCTTTAAGTTCCTCAGCGTCTCTCTGTGACCTGTTGTGATGAAGGCAAAGTTGGAAGAGCTGGGCTGTCTTATAGGACATAGTGAAGCCATTTATGCATCGCATGCCACAGGAAGGCTGCTCCTTGGATCAGGTCCAAGCACCACTGCCGTTCGGGATGTACGACTAATACTCGACGCATTCCCAACGGGGGTCCCAATAGAGTCGGTGCTCCATAGTTAGAAAGGATAAAGGATTAAAGTCTCCGCTGTGGATGGATCCCTGTTTAGGATGCTGCACGCATTCAGAATCGAAGTGGCACATTGAACGCTGTGCCCTATTGAATGAGTTGCGGAGACAGCCGATGTACAGGAGTGAGTTTATCCTTCCAGACAAGTCTGGCACCGATTCATCGTCCTGGAAAGCAAAAGACTTGGTTGGAGTGAGCGGAAGTCACGACTTTGACCGCAGGACCTGCACCCGGCAAGCTTGTTGCTTGCCACTATACTACCCACGCCACTTCCCATAATTGTGTTAAAATGTAATCTTATTGAATATTCCTTCAGTATTTCTTGAGTAAGAGGGACCTGACCGACCTTCGTGAACGATTGTAGAAGGTGGCAGAGAGAATAGCAATGTCATCATTTCTGGCCACATACTCATGGATGATATTGTTGTGCTGCTGGTCGAAATACGAGACGGCCACAATGGCGGCGAATAACGAAAACACCAGAGTACTCGTACACGTTATACAGCACAGTCGGCGATATCGGGGCGCTGAAATATTCAAATGTCTAGGGGATCTGATAACATGGGTCTTTCATGCCGTTGAGACAATTTTTGAAACCGTTTGTTGCATGTTGTAGAGGTCTATGCTGGGAAACACAGAAAAGTAATTCACTTTTCCTGCGCGCTTTCGGAGGCCAAAAGAAGGGTGAACGGTCGGTTGGTGGCTCGAATCCCCGCAAATTTTTGCGCAAAAACGTGTCCCAAAAACACCCGTATCATTTTAGCAATAACAAATCGAAGAGCTTTTATTTGACCAGTTCATCGCGTTTGCAGGATTTCCTGCCGGCCCTTCTTGGCATTCTCAGAAACACGCTATAAAAATTAATTACATTCTCGTGGCCCGCATTTGCCCCTCTACAATATGCAAAAAGCCGTTTCCAGCTAGGCTTCACGGCCTAGAAGATCTTTCTTGTGAGACGAACAGTTTCCTTTGGAGAAAGGCTCCAATATAATCTACCTTGAAGGTGTTGTAAAACTAAAGATGTGGGTGATACTGAACTGTTAGAAAATACCCCATCTTCGTGCGCTTCTTATTTTGGGCTATACCGTCTATTGGTCCAACATGAACAGAGGACATGTGGGGGAAGACAATGTGTGAATCCAGTGTTAAAGGCTTAACATTCTCCACAAACCGTAATTTACTACAACACTGCCCCCATTTAGCTTTATCACCCAAATCCTTCTGCGAATTTTGCTATACGGAAGATAGCTGCGGATAGGCACCCTTTGACAACTATTTATGGGAATAGCGTAGTTCTCACGCGCAGCTAAGTATTCTCGTCATAAAAGAACCAGAAAGGAAAAGGTCAAAAGCGTTTCATCTAATATTGCTTTTTTCTAGACTGGTCAAGTTTACCAATGGCTTGTTTTCTACCGCAGCCGCCACTATTATGTAAGAAAGCACAGTCACGAGCGGCTCAGCTCCACATCGCCTCGGCATCGCAACGCTCACCCCTTCCCCTTTCCGGCCTTCAGGCGATATCAGCTGCATATGTCCTATTTGTAAGGACAAGAAGAAACGATTCCAAAAAAATCCGCTCAACGCTGAAACAGACCCCATCCCCAGCGGCCAAATACGATCCCTCTGATGGATTCCTGAAACGATTAAGTGCTGTATGTGGCGCTTATATAGCGAACCAGTGATGGAATAATTACTATATGAAATCTCTGAGGCATCAATTTTACTGGATGTGTTATGCAGTACACCGCTTACCTGTTAGCAAGGTGTATGCCGACATGCTGTTCAATTCTCGTACGCATAGGAATGCTTTCTGACTATTGTGTAATAACATTGCAAGTTCTCGATTCCTTGATCTAGAAGTGCTTACATTTCGCGAACAGTCAAAAAATGTAGAAATAGTAGCGTAAAGGAATTACCCATCGATATTCTGAGTGGAAAATCACAGGCTACTTACATCAGCTTTCTTCTAGAAACTATTGAACAACAACGATTCGTAATAAAATAGTTATTTAATGAAATTCAATCTAGGGTGTGGAGGGAAGAGGGGTACGAAAAAGCCGTTTTACAAGCGCCCTCAGACCTTAACTAACTAAAACATGGCACGTCATAGGGAAAGGCTAAGTAAAGTAGATCCTACCGCGGTCGTCTGCTTATGAAACGCCCTATTAAACCATTTCGCAACATGCGTTGAAGCCAGCACTAGCTAGAGAGATATTCATAGCAGCCCAAGGAATCCACGTAAGTCTGGAACCAGCTATTCCTGCTCTTCATTGATCAGAAATCATAATGAATAGGTAAAGTGCATGGCGTCGATCAGTTCTCTTGCGATGAGCCACGTCGTCTATCTCCGTAGAAG